TTCACTGGTGAATTCTACCAAACATTTAAAGGACTTATACCAATTCTCTATAATTTCTTCCAGAAAATAAAAGGAGAAATACTTTCTAACTCATTCAATAGACAACATGATATAGTAGAAAGAACGTAGGACTAGAGGTTAACATCTGAGTTATAGTTTTGGCTTCCATTATTTATAAGTGTGTTTCAATCACTAAAGCTCTTTGAGACTCAGTTTCTTCATCAGTAAAGTATGGTTAATAATATTGTTATGGACAGAATTGTATCCCCTCAAAATTTAAATGTTGAAGTCTTAAACCCTCCTGTGGCTATATTTGGAGATAGGGTTTTTAGGGAAATAGTTAAGGTTATGTGAGGCATAAATGCCTCCTATTCTGATAGGATTGATGACCTCACAAGAAGAAAAAGAGACACTGGAGATCTTTCTCTCTTTCCACACAAGCATAGAGGAAAGGCCATGTGAAGACATAGCAAGGTGGCCATCTACAAGCCAGGAAGAGAGCACATTTCACCAGAAACCATCCCTGGCACATTGCTCTTGGACTTCTATCCTCCAGAACTGTGTGAAAATAAATGTGTGTTGTTTAAACCACCCAGTCTGCAGTATTTTGTTATGGCAGCCCAAGCAGACTAATACAAATACCTACTTAGTAATATTGTGAATATTAGTTCAAAACAAATGATCTTTGAAATGGTAACGCTTTATATAAATGTTAAATATTCTTATTAATACTCCTTTTCATGGTGCAGTGCAGTTTGCATTGAGAGAGGTGAAGAAAGAATAGCATCAGTTTGCAGGACTTCTTGGAATAGTTGGAGGAAATTTCAAGAGTTCATACTGGGTTAAGAAAATATGCTCTCATAATTAGATTTGCATCTATCTCCGAAATACTCCCATTGTATGCTTTACCTCCTAATTTTGGATGTTAAAGCAGACCTGGCATCTATAGTTTTCCCCTTGACCATAACATAAGGTTTGATCTTCTTTGCTTCTTTTCTTATAGGCCTACATCATCTGAACACTTTTCTATTGCTTTTTGCCCTCTAGCTTCATCTGATCCATCTCACAGATGTTGGGGTTTCAGGGATTCCCCTTAGATTTTAGTGTCTCCTCCATCATTACCAACCTTGGCCTCTTATTACAGTCATGTTTCCATCATTCACATGTACTTGGCCACGTGGCAGCTTTGCTGATGGGCTCTGCAGCCATCTCCCACAAATGCAAGCCAAGAGGTGACATTCAATCTACACACAGAGTACACTTACATCCTGCCAAAGCTGTAAAACTGTCTGGAATTGTAGTCCCTTCCAGTTATGTGCACTGAAACACCTGCCAATGACATTAATCAAATTCCTAATGATTTCATGGTACAGCAGGTAGAGTTCAGGTGGCTTATAGCAGGAAAGTAAGGCCATAGAAGCCCTGGGCTAGTTTTTAGGCTCAGAGCTCCTGAAGCTCTTAAGCCACAAGGCATAAGAAATCCATTGGGTGTTTCTGAAACCTGTTCCAAAAACCAGAAAATACTGAGGCAGAAGGTAAAGGAAAGGTTAGAACACAAATGTCCTCACTGTCTGGCAAAGGCTACCTCCTCCATGGAGGTTCTGGGGTGACTCAGCCAATCAGTGATCCCAGCCCAGTCACCCCAGGGCTCCCATTTCCTAAGTGGTCCTGCTTGTCTGGGTCTAGGGACAATTCTGTAGGGCTTGCCCAGTGTCCCAGGCATGCATAACACTTCTACCTAACTCAAACCACATGCAGAAGGATCATGTCATACTTGGCACGTAATCAATTGAGAAAGGCATCAGAGGGTGTCCAGACCTCAACTTGTTTGAACAAATGTTCAAAAAACATTTCTAAAAGGATATTCCAGAAAAACGTACCCACTTGAGATCTTAAAACAGATGTTTACTCTCTAAGATTGGGTTGCTTTGCAGCCATTATTATTGAATGCTTAAAAGTAGAACCAAATCACTTCAAAGTTTTAACTATGGTGGCTCTTCAGATTTTTCTTGTAGCTTTATTATGGGCCAGGGGAAGGAAGGGTCAGCAAACAGGATGATGCTGAGGCGGCAACATTCTGTTGTGCTTCAGTGCCTTGGCTTCAGAGTTCGACAGGCAAGGGCTTAGATTACTGACTAGCTGAGTGACTTAACTTCTCTGAGCCTCAGTTTCCTCATCTGTGAAATGGGGATAACAGCATTGCTTACTTGATAGATTTGTGAAGAAGACTAAAAGATATTGCATATAAAGAGTTTGCATACTGCATATCATTTATTAAGCACTCAATTAGTGCTAGACAATATTGTTAACATTATTACTCGAAGTACTTTTACCTCTACTGCTTCTACTACTACTAAGACTGCTACCACTATAACAACAACAATAGCTACTGCTGCTGCTGCTACTACTACTATGACTATGACTACTACCATGACCATGACCATGACCACGACTACTACTACTACTACTACTGCTACTACTAGCAATGAGGGCTCTTCCTAAATGAGTTGGGAAGTTGAAGAGGGCCTTAAGGTCATGATTTCCTAGTTTATGTAGAAGGTGGTAGTATCAAGGAGGAAGACTGCAGGACTGTAATTCTGGCTTGGAATAGGGTAACTACCATAACAGTGCAGGGACCTGGCATTGTATTTCTCTTAACCCAGGCCCAAGCTCCTTCACTGTTCATTAGTTTGCTGTATGACCTAGCCAAGCCACTTTATATTTCCAGGTTTTAGTAACTACCCTTGAAAATAAAACCCCACTGCTCTTATTTGCAAGCCACCTGGCCTATACTAGAGGCCTAATCTATGAATGGAATATGGTACAAGCAGACAGGTCTATGAAAAGCACAGTACCAGACTCTAAAATCACACGAAACTAACTGGCTCCTAATCCAGAGACATGCTATAGCCACCACCAGGATCTTTGTTAACCACTGCCAAACAATAATCTCTTGGGCTCCTTGTCAGATGGAAGCATGGTATTACTCTCAATATAGCCATAACCTTGGTATTTCATATTTGTCCATCTATGTTTATTGATTCATAAAGACTCTTAAAGGAATTTCATTAATTTGTCCATCCATTCATTCATTCAACAAATATCTATTGAGCAACTACAACATGCCAGACACTGCTCAAGGCACTGGGGATATAGCAGTGAACCAAAGTCTCTGCTATCATGAAGTTTACAGTCTAACTGCCTGATTGGCCAAATGTAGTATACTAAGAAACATTATTGGGGTAAGTTCAGTCTAGATTTTTGAAACATTGATGATCAATATTTTTCATTTGGGTGTCTCTTCTAGGAGGGAGGATTGGGTGAAGAGGGAAGAGATGGTCTTGGATGTAGCTTGAGGAAAGGCTCAGAGGGTGGTTTGGGAAAGGACTTTAATAATAATATGACTGTAGTTTGATTTATATTAACCTGGCTTATATAAATTATATAGCTAATATGTTGTATAGCTGATGTATATCATATGCATTACCTATGAAATTGAAATATAAGAAAGTAATGTGACTTTTAATTGTGTAGTTCATAAACTGGTTCTGAAGGCAGTTCCAAAAGCAGCATTTGAAAAATATTCTCAAAAATAACAGCATTATATATATTTTTTTCTCCCAAGAGGACTACTTTGAAAAGTACAGCATGCATTTGGATGTATAAATTCTATAATACTATGTTCTTAAAATAAAAAATATTAAGTTAGCAGTTAATTTGTTTAAAAACAGTAAAGTAGAAAAGGAAAGCTGGAATTAAATAACCAGTTAAATTTTTTATATGTATCTATCATATATTTGGATTCAAAGTTGTACAACTCAGTAAATAGTTATACAATTAACTTACTTTTAAAAGCACTGTGTCAAATTTTTCTTTGTACTTAGGTTCTTCAGTCAATTCATATATAGTCTTCTATATATGGGTATTAATAACTACAATACAGTTACTTGGCCATTGCCTATGGTATGTTACATTTTTAATATGCAAATCAATCTTCTGGTTACATGAAAGGACTGCACAAATACTGCCTTCTGCTTTGATGCCAGTGTATGATCAAGTTCCTTGTATTTTAACTAGTATTTATGTTATAGGCAGAATGTTAAATCAGGAATTGTAAACAATTCCTAGGCAATGTGTATAATGTTTGTAAGTCATTCCTAGAAATTATTCATAATGCCTGTAACATATATGCAACTAGCAAGATGCCTGAAACATATAGGAAACCTTCAAGATGCTAACTGGCCATCCCTATGCCATCCCTGGATTGTAACATTTGCTTTAACAATTCTACTTATTTATTTGCTTATACGTCTAGATATTAATAATAATTCTAATAATAACAGTATTGCAGTATTTTCATAGCTCTCACAGGTTCCTGAATGTTTACCAGCCAAAATAGTATTTACCAAATTATTTAGTTATCCAGGGCTTTGGAAAAGCTAATTTTAAAAGCAACTAGGAATAAAACAAACCAATAGATAAGAATAAAAAAGAATCTTATTTGTCAGATATTCTGAGGCCCCATCTAAAGTTTCTTATTCCTGTTCATAAGATTTAGCCCAAGTTTCCTTGCCTTTTCCCCCAGCTCACTAAACTCTAACCAAGTAATTTCTGATACTCTAACTCCTCCAAGCTTTCCTAGGCCACACACACACACACACACACACACACACAATCCTACTAACTTTTACCAATGTCAATTTGTCTAAACATGAAATATTCTTTCCTGTCCCTGCTTTCTTCCCCACTAATGGGCCTAGGTCTATACATGGTATAATTGTTTAATTCTACATATTTGGTTCCAGCCAAATTTATCTTCTTTTAACTTACTATTTTAGATGAACTACACGTTGGTTTATATCAGTATTATCTGTTATGAGTTATATGTACATAAGCACACCAAACCAATTTGGCGATAAAGAAAAACAAAGTTCAATTAGTCTACCCTTTGAGTGCCAAAGTCATATCAGATCACTGATTGGAATCCTTTATCCTCTCAGGCTGGAGCACTTCTTGTCCATCTAGACAACTAAACTGATTTGATCATCTTCTGATTGACCTACAGAACTGGAGTTCAGCAAGATGAGGACGGGATGAATTGGCAAGGTAGGATGTAGGACCATGAGGGAAACCTCTGACTGGTTGGCTAGGGCCTTCTGACAATTGACCTCAAAATCTAGTATAGGTGCCAAGAAGTTGCTGGTATGGGAAGATGCTGCTAAGCAGGATTTGACATTATATAATTGTGCCCTTTAATCTGCTCAGATAAGGACCCTCTACCCCCATTTCCATCATCACTATATGCAGATATAATCCATCTCTCGAAGGTCCCATGCAGTCCTAGCTCCACTATGTAGCCCCTGTGGTTGCTTCAGGACCCACTTTTCTTTAAACTCTTCTAGCCCTTATTTAAGTTAATTTTCTCTCTCGCACTGAATTGTACCAATCTAATTATTAACTGTGATATTTTTCATATGTGCTTTGTACTAATGGTGACCATCTTTTCCAAACCAAAATTTGGAACACAATATCTGAAAATTTAGGTGGACTATTTAAAATTAGCAGTGCCCTGGAAAATATTGGGTTGTCGGAAAAGTCATGACATGTTTTTTCTATGTTTTTCATTGCAAAAATGTGTCATGACTTTTCCGACAGGTCAACAGATGTTTATTTCTTTCTGGGCCCCTCACCTATTAAATATTCAATATTGGCTGCTATTGATGATACAAAGATAAGGAAGGATACAAAGTGGCAACTACCAAGACACAAGTGAAGGACACTGATATTCTTTGCAGTGTCCAATACAGAGAAGCATTGCCCAAATGTCTTATCATTGTGTGTGAGAAATGATGTAATGATCCTGAAAAAAAAAGTGTGGAAAGGGAAGAAGGTCAAACAGGTACCAGTAGCAAAATGGACATCACCAATTCCTGCCCCAAGAGGGTTAATTACCTCTGGTCAGGACTTCCTCTGCATAACTCAACCTCTGAGTTTGCCTGCACTTCCCTCTCAAGTGTGTACTTTTGTTTCAATAAGCTGTGCTTTCTTGCAAAAAATAGAAAAAGACCAAATCATATAAGATACCATGTAAGTAAAAAGATGGGACCTTGTTATTCAGAAGGACAGAAATGAAAGGTTTCACTGAAGTCTGTAAGAATGTGAAGTAGGTAAACTTGGATTTGTTTACAAAATTCTAGAATCCCTCACTGGGCTGTATATTCCTGCATACCAAAATTTCAAGGAAAATAAAAGGGGTGGTTAGCACATGTAACATACTTTCAAAGATTATATAGGCTGAGAACATTGCTGGGAGAGAAGTTTAGGTTCACTTAACCCATAAGGGCTATTAAATATTACTATCCATCAATTTTTAGCTCAGTTAGTTTATAACATAACTAGCTAGCCACTGTGGAGAAGAAAAGATAACTAGTTAACCCTTTATGGAACAGAAAGCAGCCACATAATCTAGAGTCAAACATGCTGAAAGTTGAAGACAACCAAGATGATGCAGTAGGTAAATGCTGTGTTTACCTTCTCTCACAACCACATCAAAGTACAACTAATCTACAAAACAACCATTATTTAGAATTACCTAAAATCAAGCTGAACTGAAGCCCTTCAAATAAGGATGCACAGAAGAAGCCACCACCAAATTGGTAGGAGGAGTAGAGATGCGAAATGGGCTGGTCTCACACGCATGTGTGACCATTAAAGATTGGGAGGGATATTTCAGCTGTGGGAGTCCCCAATCTCCCAGAGGAATGAGAGGTCCCAGCCCCACACCAACCCAGAGTTCCAGTGCTAGGGAGAGAATTCCCCATAATTTCTGGTTGTGAAAACCACTCATTTAAGAATGAGTGAGACTGAGGGCGGCTGCACTCCCAGGTACGCCTCTTAAGGGGACTGCAAGTGGACTTTTTTACTAACTGAATCACTGGCTCTGAGATCCAGTGCTGGAGAGGCAGCAGGGACATATGGTGGGGAACTGAATTGTCTGGCTTGAGACAGCTTTCTTCTAGACAGGGAGATGGTGGAAATCATTGTTTCTTTGCTGAGTCCTCCCCGTTCCTGGCATGCAGACACAGGTGGCCACCATATCTGAGTCTTCGCCATTCGTTCACCATGCCCTGACAATTGGAGATCTGGCCTTGACCCAGTCCACTTCCAGTGGCTATTTCATGCAGACCGCCTGCTTTGGCTCAAGCTGCAGAATTTCCTAGGGTCTCTCAAAAGTTCACAGAACCCAGACAAGAAGCATCTGGCTTGAGCATGTCCTGTACCTCTTGATGAGCAGTCCTAAGTGCAGCACTAGTAGCAGCCACCCTTGTGTCATGACTTGACCTCTCAAGGCACTTCCAAGCACAGCACAGGTGGCAGCCATCTGTGGATTTCTTTGTGACTCCTGCCAGGTGGCCCTGGTTGGGACATGGGCTGTGGTTGAACTTTACCTACAGTGGATCCCCTCCAAGGTGGTCCTGGGGTTGATGCGCACAGTGGCATCCAAGTACAACACATACAAGGGGGTGATTGGGAAGACACCAGAGTCCTGGTGAGGCAGCTCCTGCACCATAGGGTCATCCCCTGCACCACAACTACTCCATGGTAGTAACGGCCAGTCCTCACAACCAGTGAGCTAAAGGATCAGTCCTTCCTATTGATGTGCAATTATGAACTATGGCTCAGCTACAAGAGGAGGGCACACGCAACCCACACAAAGAACACACCTGGAGTCTGTGGCTCAGGTGACCAGAAAGACTGTGCCACTGAACTCCACACAGCACACCTACTACATAAGGCCACTCTACTAAGACCGGAAGACATAACAGCCCTACCTAATACATAGAAACAAACACAAGGTATCAGCCAAAATCGGAAGACAAAGAAACATGTCCCAAATAAAAGAACAGAATATAGCTTCAGAAAAAGAACTAAGTGAAATGGAGATAAGCAATCTATCAGAAGCAGAGTTCCAAACATTGGTTACAAGAATGCTCAATGATCTCAGGGAGAACTTCAACAGAGAGATAGGAAGCATGAAAATGGAGATGGAAACCATGAAAAAGAACCTTTCCAAAATAAAAGATACAGTAATGGAGGTGAAGACTATATTACAGGGAATCAACAGTAGATTAGATAAAGCAGAGGATTCAATCAGCGATGTAGAAGATAAAATAGAAGAAAATACCCAGTCAGAACAGCAAAACGATTGAGGAGAGTTTAAGGGGCCTCTGGGACAATATCAAGCATACCAACAATCACATTAGAGGGGTACCAGAAGGAGAAGAGAGAGAGCAAGAAATTGAAAACCTATTTGAAGAAAGAATGACAGGAAACTTCCCTAACCTGGTGAAGGAAATAGACATACAAGCCCATGAGGTGCACAGACAGTCCCAAACAAGACAAACTCAAAGAGGCCAACACCAAGACACATCATAATTAAAATATGAAAGGTTAAAGACAAAGATAGAATCTTAAAAGCAGCAAGAGAAAAGCAGTTAGTTACCTACACGGGAGCCCCCATAAGACTGGCAGCTGATTTCTCAACAGAAACTTTGCAGACAAGAAGGGAATGGCAGGAAATATTCCAAGTGATGAAAAGCAATGACATACAACCAAGATTGCTCTACCCAGCAAGGCTGTCATTTAGAATTGAAGGACAGATAAGGAGCTTCCCAGGCAAGAAAAAGCTGAAGGAGCTCATCACTATCAAACCAATATTACAAGGAATCTTAGAGGGACTTCTTTAAGATGGGAGGGGAGTTAAGGATGGGTAAAAAGGGAAGGGATTAAGAAGAACAATTTGGTTGCTACACAGTAGTCATGAGGATGTAAGGTATAGCATAAGGAATATAGACAATAAGATTGTAATAACTAGGTATGGTGCCAGATAAGTACTACATCTATCAGGGCGATAGATGGGAATGGGGTTGGGGGCAGGGTGAAAAAGGTGAATGTATTAAGAAATACAAATTGGTAGTTAATATAGTATGGGGAATACAATAAACAATTTTGTAAAGATAATGTAAGATGCTAGATGGGCACTGTAATTATCAGGGAGGATCACTTCATAGGCTGTGTAGATGCCTGATCAATGTGCTATACATTTGAAAAGCTGAAGTAGAATAGTATTTAATGTCAACTATAACTAAATATATAGGTATATATAGTCAGGGGATGTGTAGTGCAACATAGGGAAGATAGCCAATGGTACTGTAACAGGTATATAAGATGTCAGAGGGTTAGTAGCTTGGGGAGTGGGTTATCACTTTATGAGGGGTTTAAAAGTCTAATTATTATGTTGCTTTGTACACCTGAAACAAGTAAAAAAAATTCAGTAAAAAACAAAAACATGCTGACAGCAACAAGAAGGGATAGCTTATAGTGAGGAGGAGATAGAAGTAGAGAGAATTATTTAAGAATAGTAATTTGGAATTAGTTACCTTAGGGGTTAATTCACCTATATACCTTAATTATACCTGGGAGTAGCATTGCATAATACAGCAATTCATGCTTATAATGGTAACCTTGAATTATTAAGACAAACTTAAATTATATTTCATACATTTTATTCTTATGGAATTCATGGTTCTTGCAAATAGGTCTCTAAGATGCTCTTCCTAATCAAATTAGAAAGCCTCACCACACCTTGCATTTTTTTTTCAAACCAAGAAAGAGCATTGTAAGATGCAAATAATTTCCAAACAAAAGAAGCAGTTATTTTGGGAAGACTAACAGTTCAGATATTAGAAACCAAGATGGGATAATTCTGCTAATGCAGTGTACAGTGTATTGGACTTTGAAAGGTCACAAATGAAAACATGATGATATAGTGCTCTCTTGCCACTTCTGCCAAATAGTAATATCATTTCTTGGAAATCCAGGGAAACTAAAGAGCTTTGAGTTACCAGCAGGGAGGGAGTAATGGTTGTAGGTATTCCTTGGATTGGATATCATCAACAAATCCTGGAATCCTTAAGGAAGCATCTTATTTTATTTTTAAAGGTTTTTTAAAGAATATAGCTAACATATAATATCAGTTTCAGGTGCACATTATAGTTATTCAACATTTATATACCTAAAGAAGTGATAGCCCAGCAGCCATCTGA